CCCCCCCCCGGGCCCACCCTTCCCATCCCATGATTTTACTGATGATTAAAGTTTTTTAACAGACTTTACTGACAGCCATTCTTAGCTTGAATTTTTTTTTACTGACTGTCTGTAAATTTCCTAATGTTTCGTAACCTTGGGTTGTGTACATTTGTTCAAATAATTCGAGAGAATTATTTAGGGTTTGTTTTCCTGATGGAGAAACTTAATTGGACAGATGCTTGAATGCTGAGCCATTGCACAGCCAGCAGACCCCTACATACACATCTCAGGGTGCACTGGAGGTGCTGCAGTCTGCCTGGCCACAGATGACAGCAGTGCACAGGACTGCCCAGATTAGCTGACCCAGACTACCTTAGAGACTGTATTCCCGTGCAGCACAATGTGGGTGAAGAGGGCTCCCTGTAGGGCTGCACCAGCCTGAGTGGCACACTGTCTCCCTGGACCCATGGTGGAAAGGCTGGGAGCAAAGCAGACTGGGATGCCCAAAGTCTGCGCTGCAATTTCTTTCAGAACGTACATGTACAGAACTTTGCTCACCCACGAGAAACTCTCCTGGGAGCCATTTAACCGTGGTTGTTCCCAGGTTATTTTTCTCCTGGAGTGGCTTTTTTTTGCTCCGGGAGAAAAATTGTGAATGTCTGTATGCTCATGGTTTCTTCTGGGAAAGCAGCAACTCACCCTGTAGAAATTTTATGTTTCTACTTGGCCAAAAGCTATCAGTCAAAACCAAAGCATGATTTTGCCTTTTTTTGTTGTCTTCTATCAAATGGAAGCAGAGAACTGTTGTGTGCTTTTAGCATCTTCTCAGCTCCCTTCTTTGTGATGATACATACCAAAATGCACAATTTGGATAGAGAGAGATGAATTAGCAGTCCAAAGAGAAATAGGGTATATGTTAATCTGTTCACTGCTATTTTGAGCAGTGACTGAATGTGGAGGCTTATTTGAAAGTGGTGACATGCGATTGGAAAGTCTCCATGTCAAATAGGAAATGCCTCAGGGACCTCAGACTGCGCTGGTGATGCAATTTGCCCAGTATTCCCGAAATCTGAGAGAGTGCCCAGGTGGTACCCCAGCTAAGTGAGATCTGCCTGTAATCTTTCTGTATTTGACAGACTCTCCAGAACAGCATTGCATAGCCTCTGCAGCATACAGGGACCTGCTGACATCTTGTCAGCAATCTTAGCATGGGCAATAATTTGCAGACAGATTTATATAAGCCAAGTTCAATATGTTGATGTACCTGGTTTCCCGCTCCCCCCCCCCCCCCCCCCCCCCCCATAAACCAACTGTACTTGAGTTGAATTGTCTTAAGATAAATAGGAAACTTTCCTTACCCATAAAGTGCTGTATCTCATGCTTTTTTCTTCCCTTTCCATATTGTTTGCTACATTCCTTACATCAATGTTCATTTCATTTCTTCTTCCTTTTTTGCTACATTCCTTACATTCATTTCCTTTCTTCTTTTTTTCCCCCCTTTCTGTTCCTCAGGGTTGCTTCATCTCTTGCCCTTCTACATTGCCTCCTCATCTCTTTCCTTTCATAGACCTTACTTCTCCCTCCCTTCTACCCTCCTCCCGTTCTTCCAAGCTAATCTACACTCTGTGGCCCCACCATCACTCATACTGTCTCCCATCCCCACCTTCTGTTCTTCTGCCTTCACCATTTTTCACCCATTATTTTTTTCAATGGCAAACCTGCGTTCTGAATAAACCAGCTACTCACCCCCCGCCCCCGCTTCTCTTCAGTGTCTCCCTCACTTTGCTCCTGAGGCTGCCATCTCCAGCTAGACACTTCAGTGCTTCAGTTTTCAGTCGTGTAGCAGAAAACAGAACAGAGCTGGCTTTTGCCCCTTGCATGTTGGCCATCTGATGGGTGAGATGGGGAAAGCCACTTGTGGCAACCAATGTGTAGGAAGGGAAGTAGGAAATCGGAGCAGCTGTTTGGTGCTACAGGGAATTTTTACAGGAAAAATAATCCATACCAATAGGCAGCACCTGTGCTTTCTCCACCTGCAGTCTTCTGGGCAGGACTCCACATGCTTTCTACTTTCTAGAGCAAGTGAGGCAGGGGAAAGAAACAGCACGTGATTAGTCTGTGATCATTCATGCACTCAAAGCAGGCAAATTAAGGTGACTGAGGCCACAAAAATGCCAAAATTACCTAATGTTTACATAGCTGACCTTGCAATTTCAGTTGTATTCATAACTTAGGTTTGTATGTGTGTATATACCATATTTATTTAAGGATTTTATATGGCCCTCATCTTTGTGATACTGAGTTGTCAGCTTTTAAATTTTTATGACCGGCATCACTAAAGTTCTCATATGCAGATCTTTATTAGAACACCCAATAAGTGTATGAAAGTGTAAGAGCATGAAAGCCTTTCTCAAGAAATATCTCCTTAAAGACCTAATCTTTTAGGGGACAATCCTGCCCTCTACTGCCAACAGATGGTTTCCAATGGCCGTTTAGTATTATACACGTGTAGGTCTGAGAGCTGAGTTTACCTGGGAATGCCTGAGGGAGATATTTTTTATTGTGGCCCTAGCAACCATTTCCAGTTGTACTGGATCAGAAATTTGAATTTAAAACTCCAAAATGCATTCCTGATGGTGACTCCATTCAGGTATAAAGTGTGTTTTGGAAAAAGGGATGGAGGCAGGAGGGTGGGGGTAAGGGGGGGGAGCAGTGGAAGAGATGTAAACAAGTTGGCTGTTGCAAAAACCCAACATTTGCTTTTGATGGTGGCAGGAGCGAACCGTGTGACCCTGGAGGACTCCAACATCCTGCAGCCAATGGGCCTGACTGTTTTGGGGAATCACTTGTACTGGATTGATCGCCAGCAGCAGATGATTGAGAGAGTTGAGAAAACAAATGGATCCAGGAGGACGCGGATCCAAGGTCGAATTGCTCACCTGACAGGCATTCATGCTGTGGAAGAGCTCGATATGGAAGAATTTTGTAAGTTTATTTCAGCGCCTAGTTATGCTGATACTGGTTTCTCTTTAAACTTCTAAATCAAGTGCACAGCATATATCCCAACGTGTGCATTTTTTGATTCTTCAGTCTCCAGCTTGCAGTAAACCCTGATATTCACCCTAAAGAGACCACATGGAGTTCTTGGTTTTGCTTCTTTTTAAAAAAAAAACAAACAGAGACTGCTGAAAGCCAAGAAAAATTGTTTTTCTTAATGAACAATCTTGACTATTTATTTAACACCCAATATACCCAAGTTATTCTCAAAACTGAAGACAGATCCCTGTCCTGAAAAACTGTACTGGGGGTAGGGCTTGATCCCGTAGGGCACTAAGCACGCTGGCATTGAATATATGAGCAGTCCCAGTGACTACAAACAAGTGTTTAGCTGGCGCACACTAGAGTGCTTATCACCTTGCAGAATTGTGACCCTCCCAGAAGAAAATACCATGTAAACCTCTTCTCATTCCTGTCATGAGTTGTCCTTGTACAGAACAATGGTGTTAGTATACAGCTAGCCTGCTGGTTTCCTAAAAGAGAGCAGTCTGTTCTGTACCCACATGCACAGTGCATAATTTGCTCCAGAAGCTGCTTAGATATCTATGACCAAAAACTAGATATATGATATACAGAAGTCAGTTACACTGGCCAATCACCTCTGTAAGTGTATGGGCTGATATGCCATGGTGGAAGATGTCATCCCCAGCGGATGACAGGACTCAGCCATAAGAAAAACAGCTGCACTTTATATTTGCATTTCTCAATCGGCAACTTTACAAACTAGAAAAGGCTTGGATTTAAACTACTAGGCAGTAACTTGTATGAGTTCATCTTAGCTGCTGCTGGTAGTAGTGGGGAACTGTAAGGATGGGAAGAGAAGCCATGTTAGGCCCAGCATGTTTCAAAGGCCCCATCAGTATAGCACTGCAAAGGAGTTTTTTTTTTTCTTTTTTTACTCTGAGCACTATTCAAACAATTAGGGAATGATTTAATGGGGTAACCTAGTGGTACTCAACCTCTATCCCATGGCCAGATCCAGCCAGCAGAGCAGAGCTGTGTGATATGGTCTGCAGGGCTCCCCATGGGTCCAAAGGTTTGGAGGTCATTGCTTCCCTGCTGCCAAATTTCCACACTCCATGCATTGGATCAAGCTGGCACATGGGGCCAGGGCTGGGGCCATGTGCCAGATCACACCTTTGTGCTGACCCTGTTGTGGATTGGCCCACAGACCAATCCCTAGCACCAGATTTGGCCCACAGACTAACCATGCATCACTCATCTGGCTTGGAGCCCAAGAAGGTTGGGCACTACTGAGCTAAACCATGAATGGGGAAAAACATGATTTATTTTGTTTATGTGGATCCTGCTCTCTACTTTGAGTCATACTTGAAAGGAAAAACCCTTCAGGGCTGAAATCTGAAGCTGATGTTTTTAAAGGTGAATCTCATTTACAACAAAACAATTTTTCTAAATAAATTTTCTCCTACTCTTTTAACAATGCATGCTAAATGCAGAGGCATCTTGAGACCAGATATAATAATGACATATTTTTAAAGGTGAAGGCAGATTTCTGAGCTTAAATGACTGATAACACAGATGGAGAGCATGTCTGGCACGGAGCTGTTTCTACATGGCTCCTCCCAAGTAAACATCTCTGTTCATTAGTATCACAGAACGTTTCCTTCTGTGTCTTCAGAAATGAGATGGGTTCCAATCCAGCAAAGCATATCAGCGCACACAGGAGACAGTGTTATCTAGCAGGTAGGGCTTTGGATTAGGAAATAGGAGGCAGGTTCTTTGCTCATCTCTAGGACCCTGGGCAGATAACTTCACATCACCATATCTCTGTTTCTTCTGCACCCTATGTCCTGTATATTTTGGTTGCTTCAGCTGAGAGACATTGGGTGCTCAACACTTTTGAGAATCAGACTACTGATGGAAACACCTAATTATAGTCCTAAAATCATAGAAAAATAGGGCTAGGAGAGACCTGAAGAGGTCATTTAGTCCAGACTCCCTGCTCAAATCAAGATGGTCCCTGCATCCCAGACTAATATTTATCTAACCTTCTCTTTAAAACCTACCAATGATAAAGATTCCATAACTTCCACAGGTAATCTGTTCCAGTGCCTTAACCACTCTAAAAAATTCTTCCTAATATCTAATCTAAATCTCATTTGTAGCAATTTAAGCCCAGTACCTTCAGTCCTCTCCCCTCTGGACACAGAAAACTAACCTCCTGTTCTTTTAAATCGTGGCCTGCTTCTGTGTGCATACTGCAGTTTTATAAGTAATTAAGGAGTTCTTTGAGAGTAAAAGAACTAGGCACCTCATGAGTTGTTTGTTTGTTTGTTTTTAAGTAGTATAAGTTCTTTTTGACATCTAGTTAGCTTCGAAGAGCAGATGTGAAGTCTACTCATTCCTTAAATATACTCTTTTCAAAGAAGCATGTTAAGGTTTTTCTGCACCTGAATTTCCAAATACCTCTAAGCAATACTTTAAAAATCCATGTGTCACATTGTTCAGGAGCAGTCTAGTCTTAGTGAGACTGTAAATGAACTTGGGCATTGACCTCGGAAGTCATTTATTTACTGCATTCATTTCTAGTGAAATGTGGTGGTTCCTCACAGAAGCAGTTTCTGACTTTGCACTAACTGAACATCATAGTGTATTTACAGTATACAATATTCCCTTCTGTATGTTGTTTATACAGCCGCACACCCCTGCTCCCGTGACAATGGTGGGTGTTCACACATCTGCATTGCAAAAGGGGATGGAACTCCAAGATGCTCGTGCCCAGTGCACCTCGTACTTCTACAGAACCTCTTAACATGTGGAGGTAAGTGGACTGTATTAGATGGGGCATGGGGGTTATACAAGGCAGTGAGTTACATAAAGAGATTTGTGGAACTTTTAGGTCCAGGCTCCACAATGATAGACCTAGGCTCAAAGGTGTCATAGATCTCAGTGTTATTAAGTTAAGGAAAAACTGAGTCATTAACTGTCTTTGGTTTAAAAAGATGAGGTTTTCAAAAGCTAACTCCGCGTTCATGAAAGTGAATGAAGTCAGTGGGAGTTTAATGAACGGGAGAGCCAATATTGGGTGTTTGTGATTATTTTCAATCAAACTGTGTAGCTATTTGTAACTTTTACCTGGATATTTTGTTAATACTGTTTTGGTTCTAAAGGTAGGTCTTTTGGGGGAAGTTCTCTGTGAGCTTCCCTCTGGGTCAACAGATAACACACTTGTGTGAGAGTGGAGTATGAGAACTGAGAGCTGCTTTGATTTTTTCCCCCCGCTATTATCAGGAATTCAAGAAAAAGAGAGGGAACAAGGAAAACACAAGAGCTCACCTAGTTGCCTGCCTGCCAAATTATAAAGTTGGCTTCCTGTTTGCTGGGTTTCTTTTTATGATTTTACCATTCAGAAGCATATTTTATCCTTCCCTCTCCCTAGTTGAAGGGATCTCTAAGACAGGGATGTCAAACATGGACCAGGGAGCCTACAGGGTTCTTAGAGGGGTGGAAAATTCAGGGGCAGAGTGAGCAGGGACAGGGCCTGCCACCAAATTTCCATTATGGAGCCACAATAGGCATGCATGTTGGTGGCAGGAGAGAGAGCAATGGCTGTGCTAACCCCTGCTCCTTTGCTCATCCTACTACTACGTCTGAGGAGCACAAGTGAGTTTGACACCCAAGCTGGGATCCCAAGCTCTAGGATAAAACTACCCTCATGACATCTGACTTTTATTGAATGCACATAGCCTCTGGAAAAAAAAAGTACCTGTACCTTTCTGCAGAGTAGGCCCAAGTTGAGCGCTTGTATATGCATTGTGTGTTTATCTCTGACCAAAATTTGGCCTTCAGTCTCTCCACGGGCCATGTTCTGCTTCCCATCTCTCAACCAAAATGCTTCTGCCTGGTCGTAGAACCTTTAGTTCTGGCATTGACACTTGTTTAAGTTTGTCTGATATAGTACTTTTGAGGATTGTCCTCTGAAAGTGGTGTCTGACACCAAGTGACAATGTTGCATCACATATCATGGCCTAGCATTGAAAAAGTCCTAACACAGATAATAAGATCACAATGCAGCATTTTGCGTGCTCTCAAACAGAGCTGGTTTGGGAATGTGATTTGGACATGCTCTTGAAAATCGAGACCATTTCAGCAACACCCAGATGAGCAGGTACCCTTTACCAAATCTTTCATAATTTCAGAAATTGTCAGTGCTTTTAGCATCATACTTAATAAGAGAATAAAATAAGACCTTCGTTTCTTTGGAGAAGTATTGCATCTTCAACATTTTGGCTTCTTTGCTGCTCTCAAGATTTTTTTTTTTTAAATATATGCATTTCTCCAAGATTTCATGTGCTGGCTGAACTTTGACCTCTCTTGGGACGGTCATTTCTGTTATAAACTGTTTTCTTTCCCATGACCACAACATGCTCTGTGGTTTCAGGGTAGTGGTGGTTACTTCTTCAGGAGAAAAATAAATCAATCTCCTCATATTTCTCAGTACATTGCTATTGGAAGACATTGCCAGTGAAATATTCTTACCTCCCACTGCTTCATTATCTGCTGCTATAAATCTGAAAATTCAAGGCCTCCCTTTTTGTCTTCATTCATTTTTAACCTAATCATATGCTAAGCCTGATAAGATTTTTTAACATATCCTGTCTGCAGCAGTAGTAGCCCAGAGCCATTGTTTAATGGTAGTGGATAACACTGGGTTGCAAAAGGTCTGCCCACATAGTCCCACAGGCACTGATAAATTTTAGGTGAAAAGGTATCTGTTCAGCGTAATGTGGCATAATGTTAAATGCAGCTCACAAAGTGATTCTCCTTGTAGTTTTCATTGCCTGTAAATATTTTGTCTACAGAGGAAACCCGAGTCAAGAGTTTAATGCTTGCTGTCTCCAGATTACTTATGTATATGGCCTCTTAATTTATCTGCCGCTGCCATTTCATTGTTTACCTTTGAAGTAGTTGGTATTCCAACCCAGAGCAATCAAAATCCCAATTAGTTCAAAAATCATGAGTTTTTTAGCAGTGAGTACATTTCCCATTTCTTTGCCTTTTGGTTTCTTTGAGATTTCAGGTTACACTTGAATCTCATTTTCAAGCTTTTCTTCTTTATGAAGAAGGGTAGCAACTTTCTTTTTAATGAAAGTACAGGTTTTTGTGTAATCACATGGCACAGAGAGCTGGACCTTTAAAAAGCTGTACCAACATCATGAGAGAATGGCCACCTATTTATTATTGGTCCATTTGTCACCAAAAGGGAAGGTTTGCTGATGCTGGCCACTAGCAGAGAATTCCATATTATACAGTGTTTGTTACACAACAGGTCAGTTAACAAGATCATTACTCAAAGGGGTTCCTATATTAACCTATGACTATTGTTTTGTTTTTGTTTGTTACCTCTTCATCCTCAAAAAATGAAGCTTTGTTAAAATCCTCATAGTCATCAATTTTCAGTATGCTATTACTACTTATGCTTTATATATTCTCCATAATAGATGTGAAGTGTAATTATATACTGCAGCTCTTTAAACCACTTGTTTTACTCAGTTATTAAAACAATAACTGGGAATATCAGTAGAGTAGCAAAGGGATAGTGATCACTAACATCCTTAATCGCTCTGGGCCTGTTTCAAGTTGATGGGAATCTTTCCCTTTCTTCTCATCTGGAATGTTTTCTAGTTGCTTTGCCACAGCAGGTGATTACCATGACTGAAGAGACAGACTCTTCATGGTCGTGGGTAGTATGTAACTTCACTGGTTAAGATCCTAGGGGTGTTTTCTTTCGTTAATACTCTTAACCGGGCACCATCACTGGGCAGGAAGTGGCTTTTGCTGTGCCACTGTAACTTGATATTTGCAACCCTTTATGAGGTGGCAGCAGCTTCTTAATACAGTGCCTCTGGAGCAACAGTGGTGGGCTTGCCTACATCTCTTGATGGCCCGTAGTTAAAAGCTTGTAGATGAGTCAGTCTTCTAGATGTAGACTGGCCACTAGAGGAGGAAAGCACAAGTCACTCTGTGTAAGCAGGGGTTTTGCAGGGTTCAGGTTAAGTAGTTACTCATGAACCCTGACTGCCAGCTTTATTATAAAGATTATTTTAAACCATGATCAGAAATGTTCTAAAATAGTACAGTTTAGGGATTAGAGTTATGTGAAACTAGCAATTCATGCTTTGCAGGTAGATACTGATACTTGCAGTAATTGTTTAAATTTAATTCATAGAATAATCTCTTTGTTGAGATAGTTGCTAAAGCCACAGTAATCATTCAGAGTTCCTGCCATCAGTCCAGTGTTCAGAGACCTGGATTATGCCCTATTTTCCCCTGTCGACATACTGTACTGGTGTCAGGATGGCAAGAATTCATTTGCCAAGCAAAAGGGTACATTTTCCCCTTGCTGGAATCTTGTAATTTTCACAACAGAATTTCAGCCTAGACATACACTTTTCCATACACTTTTCTGTAAAAAGAAAAATAAAATGCACCTCCATTCCCTCCCTCCCCTTTTTTCTTTTTATTCGCTTCTCTGGACTCGGATAAGTGAGTGCATGTGTGATGTTTTCTTTTCTCCAGAACCTCCAACTTGTTCCCCAGATCAGTTTACCTGTGCAACTGGTGAGATTGACTGTATCCCAATGGCATGGCGGTGTGATGGCTTTCCAGAATGTGATGATCAGAGTGATGAAGATAGCTGTCCCATCTGCTCCGCAGCCCAGTTTCAGTGTGAGAAAGGGCAGTGCATCGATGCCCGCTTGCGATGTAATGGAGAAATTGACTGCCAAGATAAATCCGATGAGGCAGATTGCGATAGTAAGATTCAGTGTCCACAGCACCTAGCTCTAACACAGACATCTGCCCTGCATTTAAGAGCTTTTTTGCAAAAAATATGTTTAAAATGAATTGTATGCAACTGAAAGTATCCTGTGATTCTCCCCTTCTCTCTCTGTTTCTGAATCCCATGCTTCACAGCAGAAATTTCCATGTTTGCTTTCATTATGCTAATTATTAGGGTTTAGTGGGAGGCGGGAAATGCAGTTCATATTAAAAATGTGAATGTAAGAAAAAAAGGTATAAAACTAATTTTACTGTAGACCTGGAATAACAGATCTGCAATTAATTTTGGTGGGCTGTCCTTCCTCCTTTGATTTTTAACCACTTCTCTGCTTCTGCTATGTGTGCACGCCAGAATTACACACTGTTGAAACTATATGTGCCTTGCTGACCATTATTAAAACTTTGGATTTCTGAAAATATCTAAATGCTCCACGTTATAATTAGATTTGGACTGAGGATTACATGTGGTGATTTAACCCCTGCTTTTTCTCTTCCAGCAATCTGTCTTCCAAATCAGTTTCGATGTGCCAGCGGTCAGTGCATCCTCAGAAAACAGCAGTGTGACTCCTTTCCAGATTGCATTGATGGTTCTGATGAGCTCATGTGTGGTGAGAGGTCTTTTCTTTGAAATGAAAATGGACTGCATTCAGGCAGC